TCTATGCATCCGATGAAGTGGGCTGTAGCCCACGAAAGCTTATGCTCTAATAAATTTGTTAGTCTCTAAGGTGCCACAAGTACTCCTGTTCTTTTAGTCAGTTTCACTATCTAGTGCTCTTGCCCTAGCATTTTGCTCTTGTTTGGGGCTGCAGGGGGATATTTAAATGCAAAATAAAAGCAGTATTCATTGAATTAAAGGAGAAAAGATAGGCAATTGCTATTAAATCCCAGGCCCTAAACTACCTGACAGTGTCCCGGGAAAGATTAATAACTATTTAAAGGAGTCAAGTATCAGAGGGGTAGCCGTGTTAGTCTGTATCTGTAAAAAGCGACAAAGAGTCCTGTGGCACCTTATAGACTAACAGAAGTATTGGAGCATAAGCTTTCATGGGTGAATACCCACTTTGTCAGACGCATGTCTGACCTCTGATATTTAAAGAAGGTGATTTTTCCCCGAAGTGGATGGTTGTTATTGAAAGCTAAAGAGTAGCAACATTTCAGTTAACTTCTGATGCAAGTAAAGCAGAGAGTTGGTTAGTAAGAATATTGCAGAGAGGGCCTGAGATCTTCACTCACCATCATCAAACTGAGTTATTCTCAGCATCTATACAAATTGTTCAATGGTTTTCCATTTAGAGGAAACTGGATGCATGCTGGGGGTGCTGACCTTTCTCTTTGTGTCCTGCTGAGATCACCAGTTTTCCTTCTCCCTAGGTATGACCTCTGTGTTACAGCTCTGAATGGAGCACTCTACACCATAGGAGGAGGAGCCTTTCGCTTTGATATGGACACAGATGAATGGACCCAAGTGGATGAAGAGTGCCTGACTCAGAAATTCTTCATGGGATGCAGCACTGCGAATGGCCAAATTTATCTCCTGGGACAGAGGAAGGGGAACATGGCTGTCCCCAACATGGTGCTCTTTGACCCTTACACTGACACATGTCAGGTGGTAGATAGCAAACTCCCTTGCCCCGTTCCTATTTATGGGTGTGTCTCTATACGAAGATTTGACACATGAGCTTAAGCAAGGCTGGACCCAGGTCACCATACAGAAAGGGAGTCCAGTGTGTTAACACTTACAAGGGCTGATATTTATTGTCTGTAGAACTTGTAGAATCTTGAAAACATCATTTATTCCTCTCTTGATTTTGTCTTTTTCAGTTTGGCAAATGCTGGTGTCCTTTGTCCTCAAGGAGCCAACAGGCAATGGAAGATTTGCTCCTTTCTTTATCAAGACATCTCCACTGGTGTCAGCATGATTCCATGAAAACATTTGTTAGCAAACTCACTAACTTGGCCTCCGCAGCAGCAGCAGAAGGAATAACAGCATTGCAGCGTCAGTCAGAAACATGACTGTTGGTTTTTTGTTTGTTATTTTGATTTTACCAAATGACAGGACAGCAGCTTCTCAAATGCTGAAGAGCACTCCAGGCAGCAGCAGGTGGAAGGCATCTGTCCAAAGAAAACCAAATTTCAGTCATTGAAAATTGATTCTTTCGTTTTCAGCCCATAGGGATGACAGTACCTAAAATGCAAACAGAGCCATGACTATAAAGACCTGAGCTACTTCATGCTTCACTCCTCTGGGTTCCTAAGGAGCCTGGGCAGGGCCCTGATTATATTGGAAGGAAAAGAGCAAGCATAAGGTAGGATTTAAACTGATTCTTTATTCAAGCCAATGCCCTCATCACCTCTGTGCTGACTCAGCTCCATGTGTAAAGTGTCACTCAGGTTTTAGGTAGCACCTAGGGAACCCTGTTCAGAGCTGCTGTTGATGGCTATGGAGATAGTTCTACAAATGACAAGAGGCCATCGGCTAGCAAATAGGAGTTGAGCCACATTCACTTTGTGCTGTTCTAATCTTATGGTGCTCAGTCAGGGGATGAAATCCTGGCCATTGATGTCAATGAAATTTTGCAGTTAGCTACAATGAGGCCAAGATTTCATCCAGGATGGGTACATCGTCCCTCCCCGCTGCAACATTTCAGTTCATTATTATGCATGAGGCTGCTTGCTTCACAGCTGGGTGACATTTTCTGACTGAAACTGTTTCTCTGCAAAAAATGATTTGGTGTCACGGAAATGTTTCAATAATTTGTGAGACAAGGAGGGTGAGGTAATATCAACAATTTGTGTTAGTTTCACCGAAGTTTTCATTTTGAAAACAAAGCTAACAAACTCCAAACAAGTCAAAACATTTTGTTTTGACATTTTCAAAACAAAATATTTAATTTTTTTAATTCAAAATAACTTTTTGTTACAAAATTTCCTTCAATTGTATTTTTAAAAAAGTTTTATAAAAATGCTCAAAATCAAAGTGAAATGTTTTGTCTGAGGCCAAATGATTTTTTTACCCTCTCAATTTGCCAGAAGTATCAAAAAATTGTTTTTGGGTCAATTCAACATGATTTTAAAAAATTGGAACTGCCACCAAACCAAAAAATCAGTTATTTGCCCAGCTCTGTCGGCGACATGTATAACGAGAGAAATAAGACCTAATTCCTAGTCATGTTTGAAAATTTACCTGCACTTCGCTTGTGCACCAGCTGCTCCCTAAGAGAGACGCTCCAAAGATGGTAGTGTCAGAGCTTACAAATGATATAATTTATAATGTTAAACATTATGATCTAGAGCTATGATGGATAGAAAATTAATTAGCCATAGAGCAACGCATGTGACTGTGCATGCAAGCAGACTTCAGATTGTCTGGGTAAAGTACAAAACCTTCCTTTCTGTATTCTGAATTGTGCTGTATTAATCTTTGGCTAGTAATCTTTGATTAAATAAATTCTGATTGAGATGGTTGTCTGACATCTTGTATTATCATTATTTTTAAAGTTCAACTATGTAACAATGGTTTGGAGGGTGGATATCAAAATGTGGTTCTTATCTTGGCTCTGCAATTGATTTCTGTTCAATTATGAGCAATTCATGATACATAGTTGGGTCTTATTGACCCCATTTGTACCTAAGGCCTGGTCTACACTAGGCGTTTATGTCGAATTTAGCGCCGTTACATCGAATTAACCCTGCACCCATCCACACCACGAAGCTATTTAGTTCGACATAGAGCTCTCTTAAATTCGACTTCTGTACTCCTCCCCAACGAGAGGAGTAGCGCTAAATTCGAAATGGCCATATCGAATTAGGCTAGGTGTGGATGGAAATCGACGCTAATAGCTCCGGGAGCTATCCCACAGTGCACCACTCTGTTGACGCTCTGGACAGCAGTCCGAGCTCGGATGCTCTGACCAGCCACACAGGAAAAGCCCCGGGAAAATTTGAATTCCTTTTCCTGTCTGGGCAGTTTGAATCGCATTTCCTGTTTGGACATCGTGGCGAGCTCAGCAGCACTGGCAACGATGCAGAGCTCTCCAGCAGAGGTGACCGTGCAATCCCAGAATAGAAAGAGGGCCCCAGCATGGACTGATCGGGAAGTCTTGGATCTCATCGCTGTGTGGGGCGATGAGTCCGTGCTTTCCGAGCTGCGCTCCAAAAGACGGAATGCAAAGATATATGAGAAGATCTCTAAAGCCATGGCAGAGAGAGGATACAGCCGGGATGCAACGCAGTGCCGCGTGAAAATCAAGGAGCTGAGACAAGGCTACCAAAAAACCAAAGAGGCAAACGGACGCTCCAGATCCCAGCCCCACACATCCCGTTTCTACGAGGCACTGCATTCCATCCTAGGTGCGGCCGCCACCACTACCCCACCCGTGACCGTGGACTCTGAGGATGGGATATTGTCCGCGGCCGGTTCCTCGGACATGTTAGCGGACGGGGAAGATGAAGAAGGAGATGAGGAGGACGAGGCAGTCGACAGCGCTTGCACCGCTGATTTCCCCGACAGCCAGGAGCTCTTCATCACCCTCACAGAGATCCCCTACCAACCGTCCCCAGCCGTTACCCCGGACACAGAATCAGGGGAAGGATCAAGCAGTAAGTGTTTTAAACATCTAAACATTTATTTTTAACAGAACTGGAATATTTATAATATTAACAATGGGTTTTTCATGAAGTGTTTTAAACATCTAAACATTTATTTTTAACAGAACTGGAATATTTATAATATTAACAATGGGTTTTTCATGATTTCTTTGCCCTAGGCGCTTAACTATTTAGTCCCAACTATTTAAAAAAAATCTAACAATGTCCGGTTTTTCATGATTCTGCTGCCCAAGACGCTCCACTCTTTAGTCCCTGCCAGTGCAGCTACACCAAAATCCGGTCTATATGTCCGGGGATAGAGATGAAATCCTCATGAGAGATCTCAACGAAGCTCTCCTGGAGGTAATGTTCAAGCCTGTTCATCAGGTTCCTGGGGAGAGCGACCTTATTGGGTCCTCCGTGGTACGAAACGTTTCCGCGCCAGGAGACAATCAAGTACTCAGGGATCATTGCCCTGCAGAGCATGGCGGCATACGGCCCTGGTTTTTGCAGGCTTTCCCTAAGCATCCGTTCCTTTTCGCTGTCCGAGATCCTCATCAGGGTGATGTCGCTCATGATGCCCTGCTTTGAATTAGGTAGGGGAATGTTAGTATTGGGACTGCTTTACAGCCACGCGGTGGAGGCGGGAGAGGGGCAGCATACAGGGATCTTTCCCTGGGACAGCCGCGAGGGGGTGGGACAGGGGCAGAGTTCATGCTTTCCTGATTGCTGGCAGCAGAGACTGGCATTGCTTTCAATGTGAAAGGAGGCCAGTGCTACTATTAAAGTTTTAAGCAGCCACAAGTCTATGGCTTACCATGTTTGCCCGCTACACAAATTCCGGTGTCCTGCCCCGCTTCTCAGATCGCCACTGCAAGACCACAGGCACTGAAGGCGAGGGCCGAAAATTTGACCTTGTCCTGAGTGCGCATGTGATAGGTGCAGTGCATGGTCTTGTTCACAGAGAAAGACTATGTTCTTTGTTCACAACTACATTTATCTTTCTGAGGAATTCACTCCCTTTTTCCCATTCCCACAGCCACATCTGCGACTGTCTCCCAACCCAGCCTGGCATCACACTCCCAGAGGCTAGCGCAGATTAGGCGGAGGAAGAAGAAGACGCGGGAGGACATGTTCTCAGAACTAATGTGCTGCTCCCGAGCCCAGGCAGCCCAGCAGACACAGTGGAGGGAGAACTTGTCCCAAATGCACAGAGCAAACATGGAACGGGAGGAGAGGTGGCGTCAGGAAGACCAGCAGGCGACTCAAACGCTGCTTGGACTGATGAGGGAGCAAACGGACACGCTCCGGCGCCTTGTGGATGTTCTGCAGGACCGGAGGCAGGAGGAGAGAGCCCCGCTGCAGTGCATCTGTAACCACCCTCCCCCGCCACCAAGTCCCATACCCCCCTCACCCAAAGTCCAAAGAAGGAGGGGCGGCAGGGGCCGTGAAAAGTTTTACTCCACCCCTGCAGAGTGCTCTAGCAGTAGAAGGCTCTCATTCCCCAAAATTTGAAAAGTCCTTTCCTACCCACCTCACACAAGCCCCCGTCCAAGTTTCACCCCCCCGTTTCATGTGTAGTTACTAATAAAATATACGTTTCTGTTAATTACTGTTTCCATCATTTTCTTTTGGAGGAGAGTCTCTGTGAAGGGGGGGAAGGTGGTTGGTAATTGGACAGGACAGTCACCTTTAGCAGGGTACAGAGGCGGGGGCAGATCCAGCAGCAGGGCACATACACAGTGCAGTTACTAGTTACCCTGGTCAGTCTGGGAGGTGGTTTTCATGTTCTGGGTGTGGGGGGGGGGGTAGGGGGTTGCTCTGTGACTTTGTGGCGGGGGAGGGCAGTTACAGATCTTATGCAGCGGTCCTTATCCTGGATCACAGAGCCACGCAGCAGGGGATCTGTAACCCTCCTCCCCCTGCCAGAAAGTCACATAGCCGACACATATACGCAGTCCCGCCCAGGACGGCTGGCAGGCTCCGTTGAAACAACCAGTCCACCACTGCGGAGCCTGTCATTCCTGGAGTTTAGAGGCATCATTTGCATCACTACACTACACCCGCCCCCCACCATAGTCTGCGTCCCAGGTTTAAAACATTCCCGCGAAAACAGTAATAAAGACAACGGTGTTCATTAAGAAAATAGAACTGATTTTATTTTTTGGGAAGGGGGTAAAGGGGGTATGTAGCTGGAGAGGATAGTCAACATAAACTGGGTAAAGAAACGGGGGCAGGTTCAGCTTCTCTTTAAACAAAGTTAATAGTCACAGGTTACCCTGCTCACTGAGGAACCTAGCTTTCAAAGCCTCCCAGATGCACAGCGCGTCCTGCTGGGCTCTTCTAATCGCCCGGCTGTCTGGCTGGGCGTAATCAGAAGACAGGCTATTTGCCTCAACCTCCCACCCCGCCATAAAGGTCTCCCCCTTGCTCTCACAGAGATTGTGGAGCACACAGCAAGCTGC